GCTTCGGCTGTAACTGCTGCCCTTCGCTCTTTAAGATCTTCCTTCATCGTGTTTCTGCAGTGTTTTGCTAGTCTGCACGTGAGTTGGCTGTTGCATATGGCTCGTACAAATCCATTTTGCTGTGTCAATTGGAATGTTTTAAAGAAAGATGTTTCTTGGAGACTTTCCGTCTCTCAGTTTTCATAGTGCTGATGTGAGGATACTGAATGAGCCGATCGCCTTCTGCTTTGATCTGATCAGCAGAGGCACCATTCCCAAAAGCCGACTGGTGATACGAATAAGTGCCAGTTTTAAAAGTCGGCTTTTTTAAATTTGAAAGCTTTCTTTTGTTTTTGCGAGAAATGGAATCTTGCGCGAAAGAGGGGATGGTCTGATCACACATAAATTTTAGGACAACAGCGCCATCTAATGGGCGATACCTTCGATTTACTACATGTGGCCTAGTTCGTTATGACGTTTCTCATAGAGAGATCCTCACCTCCAGCACTTAGAAAGGAGCCTCTCGAATTGTGAATTACTATGAATGGTCGTTAGAATAAACTTAGACAACCACTCGACGTGGTCGTTCCATTCTAATCCGTGGATTCCAATGTGAAGCTCTTCAAATGTTCTTTTGGGTCCAGTCGTAGCATTAAAATCTCCACTGCTAATCTTGAAGAATATATGGTCTTCTCTGTGAAAGTTTTTCAAGTCTGCAAAGAATGCTTCACTTTCGTATTCGCCATTGCTTTATGTCGGTGGATAGGTAGCGAAGATTGTCAGAGCCGGTATTGATAAATATCTCCTCAATCGTAAACGTCCGATTCGAGTTCTCAGTTGTTCGAATGTATCCATGTTTATGGCCAAACTCGTGTTACCGAGAACCTGAGGCCGTGTGACGTATCTTCGTTTTGACCAGTCTGATAACCAAATACCTTGTCGTTCTTGCCTGCATAATCTAGTCTTTTATCGAAGACCTCGATGCAAGTGAAGATTTGTTGTAGGTACAGATCGGAAACTTGGTAGTTCGAGATTTAGGCAGCCTACAATGGCCGTGAAATTTTAGCAGCCTCTGCTTACTCTTCCTACCCAACGATGCCGTACCGGTGGCTCATTGTGTGTCAAGGGGATAAAGCCCACTTATTTTACCCTGTTTAGCGTCTGGATGCTCACCTATAGCTTGTTGAGTTTTAAACATGAAAATGGGTATTGTCACGGGTAGCTTTTAAGTCTCCACCAGAATAGACGGAGAACGGCTTATCTATTGGAGACAACTTCTACCCGCCTCCCACATACGTCCTTATTACTTTATTGCAGGCTTTTGGCAGAACTGGCTCGTGAAATAAAATCCATAAAATCCATGAACGACGACACACACATGTGCGCATGCACGAATGCATCCTTGTGATTACAGAAGGAATGTGTCTAATCGATGAAGAAAACGTGCCCTTACCTTAGATCTACTTCCACTTCAGCTAAGCATAAGTTCGCTTTTGGCCTGCAATTATTGCCTCGCAATTAACCGGCATGGGATCTCTTTATAAAGAATATCTGTGGAAAGCTTCATAACGAAGGAAATCTGCTCTGGTTCCTTCCGTTTCCAGTCTCCCTACGATGCTCTAAAATTCCCACCGGAAGAAGAGCCTGCTACGCAAATAACCGCATGGAAAGAGGCGCATCGCCCGGATCACATAGCATCATTTCATACTTTTTTCAAGATAAAAGCCGTCAGTTATAAGCAATTCTCGCAACTTAGTGATAGCAAATCTGAGCTCTAAAGGAGGCGATCCTACTTAAACTTCGAGAATAAAGAGAGAGGTCTTAACAAGCTCGCATAAGTTTATTAAGGTCATTTCTTAGGAACAAAATAATTATGCAATAACTTGCTATCAAAAGGAAAGAAGTCCCAGACTACAAAAATATTCCGCACATATTTGTGGTTTCCAGCAAAAGTAAGCGAAATTGCGTTCTCCGCTAGCATATGATTTGCTCTTTGAGTTCCTCACATCCTCTTCGAAAAGTCAGCTCTAGAAATTCCGATGACATTGGATGACGGCTCAAGATTCTCTAGGAACACAAGGACAGCAACTATCACGTCTAGAAACTGGCTATGGTAAGAGATGTGTGACAGAAGTAGAACTGTTGTAGATAGAAACTTTAGGCAGTTGCTGTCGCAACTGCACTGCGAGAACCACTCTGACGGCAAAGGTGTTCCAAAATGCCGATGCATAGGGTGATAGCTGCTCACCGATTCCATGTTTCCATAAAAACAAGCGTGAGAGCGACAACACTCTAGTGCCTCCATAAAGCAGAAGAATATAAGCTTAGCCGGTAGCTGCAATGATCCAGTTCGTGAAGAATTTTTGGCACGATGTAGAAGGAGCCGATGATGATGATTCCTGGAATAGAACATCTAAACGTAGATCTACGGTTCAACCATGCCGATAATTTTACGTCACACATAGAGAGGATTTCTAGCTATCTCTACGATTCGCAAGTAACGGAGTGGCTTGAGCGATCGTCACCATGAACAGAACAGGACATTTTTTTTGGCAGATGTCAGGTGGAATAGAAACGAATGGGAAGATTCGATGTGTTGGAACTCAGCCTAACGTTTCTAAGCAATTCTTCTATTTAACGATTTTTAAAATACTACAATTTAAGAAATTATAATGTATTTAAAACAGTTCCTTTTTTCTCGCTTTCTCTGCCACCGTCTGTCTTCATACCATGAGAAAATTGGTACTACCTACTGCTTCTCACTATTGCACAGATGACGAAAGCGAAATGAATACGTTTTCCAACCGTTTAGAGGAATTAATGTTCAACGACAAGTTTTTTTGGAAATTTCTTGTCGACGACTTTAATACCAATGTAGGAAGGGCAACGATAGCGCATACAGGATCGGCGAATTTGGATAATGAGAAATAAACAAGAATGGAAACCGTCTTATAGAAGTCGTATCTATCAGGAACGCCTCTTCCATGGGAAACCACTTTTACAGAAAAATTTCGATGCTATATATGGAAGCTAGCTGATGGTAAGATACATGCAGTAATTAACCACATTCTTAGAAACAGAAGTTGGTACACCTTTGACACAACCGTACTCCCACCACTTTGTTGTGACTCTGATTTCCGCCTTCTCTGTGCGAGGATTCGACTCAACCATAAGCTGGAAGAGAATTCTTGTCATCTACCGAAGATAACAATGAAACTCTGTATGAGAAAAACATTTTCCTTAAAATTTTTTTCTCATATGGCCGGTAGATAAAGGAAAACCCAGTTGAAGATAAAAGCAGCTTGTCGAACGGTTAAAAACTAGTGCTGAACTCGCTTCCGTTTCTCAAAAAAAAGTGCAGACTCCAACTCCATCACCACTAGAGAGTTGCATTAAAAGAGAAAAAAGCTGAAACTTCATCTTACCGTTAAGCACTTAACGCATTTCCTACGGAGGCAATAAATACCAGTTGGGGAAAATCATTGCAGAAGGACCTATATCCGTGCAGGCAGAAGAAACTATTAGAAGCAGTGCAAAAAAGGACCAGTGTGATGAAATCCTATCGGGACCTATGCGATTAAAATGTCCGCAGTAAGCTCTGATAAATAAAAACGAAATTCCTGTAACATTCCACAGTGATGCGAAATTAATATGTAGAAACACCAAGCTTTCTCGTTCCACAAGTTCTGTCCTGGATCCAAAAGTCTCCACTGGAGAAAACTGCCTAGAATCTCACCCTTTAAATTTTCAGTTGATAAAGGAAGCATAAACAACGGCACGGCTCCAGGACCGGGCAATATAATAGCCGATTTTTTCAATCAGAAGGATACAAAATACATGTGCTTCCTGCAGCCCACATCTTGTTTTCAGACGGTGAAAATCAGGAGAACACCGCGCATATTCATCCTACCCAGGAAGGGTGACTGAAGAGATTAGGTACTATCTAATATGTTTGTTGAGTGCACTCTACAAGCAGTTCACAAAGATTATGATTTTGCCCACACCGAATAGCTTCGATGAAGCACAACCATTTTAGCAAGCAGGACTCTGGTAGAAATTTTGGTGTAGGCACCACATCCAAATCGTGTCCAAGGTCATAGAATTTCGTTTGGAGCACCACCTGCCTATTATCCTGACTCCTGTTGACTAAGAAAGAGCGTTTAACAGCGTCGAAGCAAATACAATCCTTTCAGCGCTTGTTGACCAAGGAGCCGACCATGTCTTGCACAGGCGCTCTGGTTGACTGTTGTCCGAATTGCAGGAAAAAAGTTGCATCTGTTCCATCGACCCATTGCTATAATCACAGAATACAACGGCGAAGCGGGTAGACTACATTGTGTCTATGTAAAAGAACACCTAGTCAGTAAACTCAAAACAAATACTCTACCAGGCACATATAGGACATAGACACAAGGGGAGAATTTTGAAGTAGAGGCTACGATCCTCGCGCAAGAATCGAGAACACAAGCGCGCAAAACTCTAGAGGCATTCTAGATTAATTCCAAAAATCCGAAAATGAACCGCAGGGAAGAATGCATCATTATCACGCGTGATATTGGGCAGTGTACAAACCTGTTATTCTGATAGGGTGGATACATTGCGCTTCCATGTGAACTCTGTGCGGTTCATCTCCAAGTAACATATTCATTGGAAGACTCATAGAAAGCGGTAAATGTGCAAAGAAGCTATTCCGTGTTTAATTTGGCTGAATGTGAATCTTGGTTTAGCATTTCTCTTCTTGGTTATGGAGGGGTTTCTTCAGAAAGATTGCAGTCAACTTAACCTTCCCAGGCTCTGAAGAAGGCGAAATCTGCCGGAACGTCAGCTTGTGCGTAAATCACCTGTTATCACCTGTAGCCCCGTTGATCGTCGAGTGATTCGAGCGGGCGCCAATAAATCTTCCAATTTTCCCTGCTGCGTGCAAGAGTAGCCCAATTGGTTCTGCTCGCTCTAGGAACTCGTCGAGCATCCTATCTTTCTTCTTGGCTTTTCGTGAAGAACTCTGACCATCGAGTCGGTGGTCATCCTGCACTATGTTTGATACCCCGAGGAATCCAGTCACTAATGGGTCTTGTCCAACAGTTGTCATTCATACGCATTGCCTGTCCGGCCCATCTTATTTTCGACTGTTTGGTGTACAAAACGGCATCTTTGATTTCTGATCGCTGACGCAGGTCGGAGCTTCGGATCCCTTCCCTTACTTGTGTGGAACGGGATACTCCTACCATCGTCCTTTCGACTGCGCGTTCGATAACGCTGAGTGACCTTCCATCCTGCTTACGCAGCGACCAGGTTTCTGACGCATATATTAGTGCAAAAAGTACCGTTGAGTCGAAAAGGTCTGCACGGAGTCTAATGTTCCTTGTTCTCTTCACTACATCTTCGATGCTCTTGAAAGCTTCCCAAGTCGCTCGTTTTCTTCTGCTCAGCTCTGGAGCTAGGTCGTTCATCACATTGATTTTCCGACCTTGATAGATATAACTGAAGCATTTGGAGTTATTCGTTACGTTGAGTGTGAATGGGGCATGTGAAACCAATCCGTTTTTCATGAACATCGTTTTCATAAGATTTAGTCGAAGACCAATCTTTTCACAAGCTTTATCAAAGTCGCCAAGTATACGTTCCGCTTGGCTAATGTTTGGTGTTATAAGGACGATGTCATCAGCAAAGCGAAGATAGTGTAACTGTCGACCATCGATTTCCACTCCCATGTCATCCCATTCCAATATTCGCATGATGTTCTGGAGTGTGGAGGTAAATAATTTTGGCGAGATAGTATCGCCTTGCCTAACTCCTCTTTTGACGTCAATGTTAATGTCGTTGTAGAATGGTGAAATCTTGGTTGTGAAACTTTTGTTCAGCTCAAGAAAAATCTTTATGCGCTGAGTGGGACTCCTTGACAATGAAGGGCTTCCAAGACTGGCGGTTTGTTCTCTCGCGATACTTCAGTGAGCCGTGTTACCGTGTAGATGTGGTTTTACATGGCTGTCCTTCGTCCAGAGTTCTGGCAATCCTATTTAGAATGACTCGAGTGAAATGTTTGTAGGCGACAGAGAGCAAGTAGATTGGGCGAAAGCTGCCGAAATCGTGTAGGTCGCCCTTGAACAACAACACGGTCATGCTGGTCTTCCACTGAGGCACCATGCATTCAGACAGGCAACGTGTTAACAACCGAGCCAGTGTGTTTACGAGGAGTGACGGAAGGTTCTTCAGGTGTTCTGGGCGTCGGAGTGCAATGGTCTTGATCTTGTAATCGGCAGAGCTTCTGTGCGCTTTGCGAATGCTTTTCGCTGCCTCTGCGGCTTCGACCACTACTGCTGCTCTTCTTTCTTTAAGATCTTCTTTTATCACCTATTTGCATTGTTTTGCAAGTTCGGACGTTAGTTCGCGATTGCCTGCAGCTCTTGCGATTCCACGCTGGCGTACCAGCTCGAGTGTTTTTGGACACAGGCGTCACTTGGTGACTTTCGAACTCTCAGCTGTTACAGCGCTAACGTGAAGATGTTGAATGAGCCGATCGTATTCCTCGTCGATGTTATCGAGAATGTCACATTCCCAACAGCCGATTGGTGAATTGAATAAATCCCAAATTATTGTGGTTCTCGAACTTCGTTTTTTAAATTTACAGGCTTTTTTTTTCTTTCCGCGACAAATGAAATATTGCGCGAACGTAGCAGTGATCTGACCCCGTGTAGAATTTTGGGACAACAGCCACATCGGTTAGGCAAAACCTTCTATTTACTATGATGTTGTCTACTTCGTTATGGTACTGTCCATTGGAAGACTCCCACTTCCAGCGCTGAGGGTGGCGCTTCTGGAATTGCGAGTTACCATGGATTGTCATGGTAGCCATGATTAACTCAGAGAGCCGTTCACCTTGTTCGCTGCATTCTAATCGATGGGTCCCAATATGACGTTTTTCAGGCGTTCTTCTTGGTCCAATCCTGTGATTAAAACCTTCAATGATGACCTTGAAGAATGTGTTGTCTTCTCTGTTGAACTTCTCCAAGTTCATGTGGAACGCTTCGACTTCTTTTTCGTCATAGTTTGATAGTAAACGACGAATATTGTCACAGCCGGTATTGGTCCACATTTTTTTAATCGTAAACGTCCGATTCGGGTTGTAAGTTGTTCGAATGAATCGATGTTCATGGACAAATTCGTGTTGACGAAAACGCCGACACCGCCGACTCTTCTACTGTCGCATGTTCCAAAGAACAGTTCCTCTCCGGTGTCATAGACGGCGTTGAAAGGCTGACGTCTTCTCTTCTCGGCCAGGTTGATGACGTCGTACCTTATCCTTGCTTGCATGAGCAAGTCTTCTATCGAGGACTGGGTGCAAGTGTACGTGCATTGTAGGTACAGATCGTCACCATAGTTTTCTGAAATCCAGGCAGCTTCCATTGGTCCTGAGATTTTAGCATCTTCTGCCTATTCGTCCTAGTCAACGCTGCAAAATTGGGGCTCTTTTAGGATCAGGGGAATGAGGCCCGTTTTTTTTTTTTACTGTGTATAGCATTTTTGATACCCACGTATAGCTTGCTGGGCTCTGAACGTGGGGGCTGAGTATACTCACAGGTTGCTTGCCAAGCTCTCCTAGAATGGACATGGAGCTTATTTGTTGCAGGGGACTCCTAACAGCCTCCCATACACTTCCCAGTCACTTGATTGTAGCCTTTTGGCGGAATTGACTCATAGAATACAATCCGCATAAACTAGAACACACCCACACATACGTGCATGAATACGCCTCGTAAATACAGAATGTATGCGTCAAATCGACGCAGCAAAAACAAGGAATCCATCCCTGGATCCACCTGTATCTCAGGGAAGTAAAGGTCGCTTTTAAAATGCGATTATCCCCTTATCCGCCACCTAGGGACGCGCCACGTAGCTTCGCGACTAACCGGGTCGAGATCTCTCATATGAGAGAGATCAGTGGTGTGCGTAAATATTAACAAAAAATTTCTTGGAAAAATTCTAGAACAATCACACGCATTCGGATATTCACAGTTCGAGTTTGACGTTTTATCGGCATGTTTAGGTGTTGCCTTTTATCGTAGAGTGTTCAATGAAAGGACTCACGGTGTCTCATGTATGGGATTGTTTGTCGTCCCGCCACGATCATACGGAGTGCTGCAGACGCCAGGTTCGCCGACATACTCGTTTCGTGTTAGAGTACTGCTTTCAAAATATTAAAAAAAACGTCGCAGGGAGCGGGTGGGACAATGTTAGTGATGTGGTTATCACGAGCATGGTGCTAGTTCGATTCCAACCAAACCTCTCTTTCCTCTGGAGTCGAGAAATCGGTGCCTGATTTTTCTGGAAAAAAAATCACTTTGTGCAATCCAAATGAGAACACTCCAGCTTCGCTATCTCAGAACTCCATGGAAAATCGACTCGAACAGCAGCCTGCGACATTCAAGATGAAATGGAAATCCTCAGGCAGTAGCTGAAGCCATACATAAAGGTTGAAGTGCTGGGATACGCACAGTAGACGTTATGGGTCATATTAAAAAACACGTCGCTGCGTTGGTAAAGGCACCTCTCTAATAACAAGGAAAAATAGAGAAAAATGTAGTACGCTGCAGTATGGTCTATGTGTAGCGGCACAGTTAGATGTGTTGAATCGCTGCTAGAATTCATTGCCATAACAAAAACCCCGACATGGCACATCGGTGGGCCTTCATGAGTCATGATGTATGCCAGATATGCATTTAGTCATATCAGTGATGTCTAGCGGAGTTGAATGCGCACGGTAATTTTCAGAGATTGATCAACACCGAATGCTTTATTGTTTATCATTGTTTGTACATATGTGGGTGCATTGGCCTCATTCGGAACTACACATGTCTTAAACGAATGCTGCACAGCGCTTGAAAAACCTTCCAAGCATGAATATAAAAGCAATCAATTCACGTTATCGTCCAAATATTCACATATTCAACTTCTAATTTTTAATGGATTTTGGTGAGTAGTTAATTATTGAAAGTCCGCGTTGAAATTCTTCCACACTTTTCAGTGCTTTCAGTCATAATTTCTCTGGTTGCTGCAAGTTCTGATGAGGAAATGTCAAATCGACTTAACCTGTTCAGGGAGTGTCACCTCACTGCTTGGCATACTGCGCAGCAGACGGGCCTGTACCGACAGATCTACTCAAGTACGGTATCTGTATCAGCGAATTCGAGAAGTACCGCGTTTGCTTCCGAACATATTTGAAAAATAACCCATCCATAAGAGGAGATCAATAGTGAACCATATTTCTTTGTTGCCCTAACAAATGCCTTATTTGGTGCTCCGACAGCTTAAACATAAGAAATTTTGAACAACAATATACGGTCAAATGCTGAAGAGAAGTAGAAAGATATATAAAGATAGAAACAATGCCGAGGTTAATAGAAAGTCGGACTTAGGAATATACGGTCACTTCCCAGGATCGACTTTCTATTAACCTCGGCATTGGAATATGAATGCGTCGTTTTCTTGTTCAGTAATGGCGAGGTTGTTAAGCAGCATACATTTACTTCCATAGAAAAGCCCAGTACAATACAACAGTAGCCGACGTATCTTCCGAACATATTTGAGAAATATACGGTTATCTTTTCTTTAGTTATGTTTTGAACATGTAGAGTATTCACAACCCCGTAGCCATTATGCAGTTGTGTATTGTTCGAATGCCACCTTCCCTCTCTAATCTTTGGTTATACACTCGAGCTTGGTGAACTCGCAGAAGAAATGGTGTTGAAATGAAAACCGAATTGGATCTGTAGACTAATAAATTGTTTGTGATAGATTTAACACAAAGAAATATAGCCTAGAATGAATCAAATTTCTCCTTTGAGCAGTTTTGTTTTTTCTCTACAGTTTGGCTGAGGGACACTTCGGATATTTGTTTTTGATTTCAGAATTACGTACTGTGATTGTCCGATTCCCAATGTTGCTTTTTTCTCCAAAACCATAGAACATATTCTATGAGTGGATTCCGCTTTTTGGAGCCACAATAAAGGCTTCATCCCAAGAAGTTTGACTGATGTCTCTCATTCGTTATTCTCACAGATGAATCTCGGCGTATGTGCAAAAAAAAACTACTAAAGTTTCACTTTTTAGGGTTAAATCAATGTACGGGTTTTTATTGTGGTATGTTCTACTCTTATTTAGGTGTGTTCTGTAAACAAATAAACCTAGTGGTAGGTAATATTTCAAAAACTAACATACCTTTAACCTCGGTATGATTGATCACAATTTGTTTAAATTGTTTAGCTTACACAAGGCTTTTATACAACTTTTATTCGGCCAATATTTCGAGTCTTCGTCTTCATCAGGGCCAATGATCTGAATCGAAAGAGTGAGAAATGAGAAATGAGAGATGCTTGAGAGATGCTTTACTGAGGAAGATCCGAACTCGATACGAAGGTGAAAACGGACTGCTGTAGAGCATCGACTCGGATCATCGGCTCTCGTGAAAACGAAGACGTCGAGACCTTAGCCGAGTAAAAGTTATGTAACAACTTCGTGTAATCTTAACAATTTTAACACTAGTGAAAGGTGTAAAATCATACGCTTCATTGAATTTTGGAAGGCAGGAACGTTTAAGTGAATGCGAAGATTGTTGAGGACTGATGATGAAATAGGTGGAGTGGCGGTCAAAATAGTTAGATACTTGAATAGACGGCTCATGTTAACGAGTAGTGCGGTCTTACCACACTTCCCATTCGCTCTTTTCTCTCGCAGTCGTTTTCCACGGTGGTGGTTTGATTCAAGCGTGGTAGAGTTGGCGCCGTTCACACCGTCATCTTGAAAACACACTCAGCCTCGGGTACGGGTGATTTTTTTTAGTTGCGAACACATTTGTGTACTCCGTAGGTGGCCTCCCAAACGGACGCCTGCATCCTCGTAGAGTCCACCTTCTTGTTCATCCATCGTCTGTTCTTCTTATTATATGACTGCATCGGCTGTGCTTCGTTATTACTATATATTCTCCTGGATCCATAAGATGGAATAGGTTTCGAGGAACCGAGCTTCTCATTCCGGCTGGACGTTGTGTGTATCAGCCACTTCCCAGAAAACACCGTTCAAGAGCTTTGTAACTGGTGCACAGTATTCCTCTTGACGCGAAAGAAGTATCCGCCCATGTCGTAGCCGCGTAATAGAGAGCTAGAAGGCTGTTGAAATGAAAAACGTGAGCGCGGATTTTCGGGCTCTCTACTTGATTGGTGGTTTCTTTGAGAGGACCGAATGCGACCTACACTGCAGTCCAATTCATTCCTCGTGTTATTCTCCACAATCTTTGAACGCGCAAGTTACACTTACGAGGTGGTCTCTGCAAACAGAGAACCATCCAGTTTGATCTGTTAACCTTGGCACCACGGTTTTTTCACGAACTGTGATTTTTTCCGATTTATGTGCAGTCCGATTTTTTACACGCTACGCTGAGCTTGGTGGTTATCGCCTCTGCTTCTTTGGAACTCCTTGAGAAGATGCCAGCGTTCAGGAAAATGAAAATTTAATAGTAATTTACTATCGATGCTTGTGTCCTTCTCGCCTTAATCCAGTGACTTCGTTGTCCCTTGCAATGCTGCACCAAACAGCTTCGAGAAAATAATATCGCCTTGTCGAACCCTTCTGCTATGGTTATGGTGAGGACTCGACGAAAGGCTGCGTTTTGTGCCGCAGTTCCGTTAACAGTTAGCTAGGCTTCTTATGTAGAAAAGGCCAAGGTCCTTTGTCAACGAGCGCTGAATGTGCTTCAACCAAGGATTTTGATATGTGCAAATGGATAATCTTCGTGTTGGTATTGGGCAATACGGAAATCAAAATCGATGATCAGCATGATCAGCAGTTGCATCATCATAGTTTTTCTGATAAAATCATCATTATTGAACTAAGCATTAGCCGAGAGGGACAAAACCTAGCCGACTTTGATAACGCTTGTTGAAAAACTATCTTCGACTAAATCTCATAAAAACGATGTTCATGAGAAAAGGATTGATTATGTATGCCCCCATCACTCATCGAATATCTCCAAATGCTCCAGCTACGTTGGGAAATCAGCACGGTGAACGACCTAGCTCCAGAGTTGAGTAGAAGGAAGCGAGCGCATTGGAGAGCTTTCAAGGCCATCAAGGATGTGGTGAGAAGAAGAAGGAACACCCGACTCCTTGAGCACCTTTTCGAATTCGCGATTCTCCCTGTCTTAACATATGCGAAACCTGGTCTCTACGCAAGCGGAATGAAAGCTCGTTCCGAGTAGTAGAACGCGCAGTCGAAAGGGAGATACTAGCAGTATTCCGTACCACGCAAGTGAGAGAAGAAATCAGAAACTCCGACCTATGTCAACTACCAAAATTCAAAGAAGTGGACCAGACACGTAATGCATATGAACGACAACATGTCAAATGTGCTGCACGAAAACTACCGACATGGTGGTCACAGTTCCTCTCTAGAAAAGATGTGATACCCAACGAGCGAGGAAACTCCACTTGGCTTTTTTCCCACAGTATGGAGAATTGGAAGATTTACTGGCGCTAGCAAGTCATTCGAAAATCAACGGGATGAAAGACGCTGGACGAACAAATAGCTGTTTCCTCAACAACTTCTCAATGCCATTTTTCAAGAAGAGCACCGACCCAATGGTCTGAGTTTATCACCAACACCTTAAGAGGAAGACATGATGTATTTATTTATACGATCTTATCAACTGATCTTCTTAAGCTGATGAGAGGTTGGTACAGGCCTTCGTTGTCGTTGTCGTTGTTTTTGATCAATGGCTGACGTTTCGGCGACTTCGCCTTCCTCAGAGCCTGGACGTATCTTACATTAGAATATTTTTGTTATTCGGTGGGAAATAAAGGTTAAAGTGTTAATGAAGATCAAACTTTCAAATTTTCAAATAGACGCCATATTGAACAGAAAGGCGTGATGTTACGTGCGGGAATGGCCCACGCGTTGTTTTCGTGGAGTCGCGAGCGAGACACACCCCGGGGTCAAAATATCATTTTGAAATAGGGCGCCAGGTCACGCGTGATAGCGAGGCATTCGTCTTTCCGGTTCATCTTTGGATTTTTGAAATCTTTCCAAAACGCCTCAGTTTTGCGCGTTGATGGAAAAAAAACTGATAAACTGCTGATTATCAATTACTTCGTAATATACAACTAAGATAATGCTGAGATATTGGCAAAACTCCGGACCGCAGGTGTCTGCAGTGGGGAACGAAAGCGCTATTGTCCTTTCCGGGGAGTAACGCGTTCACCACCACCATGCCAATCCTTCCTTTCGCCTGCCTGCATTATCTTAGTTGCATCTCACATGATACCCTACCGTTAAAAATTATAGTAGGCAGTAAATAAAAAGGGTAAAACTGTATTTCGTGGTAATTTACAAGAAAATCTTGTTTCGACTTCATCCGTTAAATAATTCTCGATTGATTAATCGAAAAAACTGGCAACCGCATGAATTGCATTTGTTCTGAATGAGTCCTAGTCACAGAGTAGCTGGTTCATACGCGATTGCGACGGGCCGATGACTCTAGCTGATGTATAATTACGCGAATAGGAGCGATTAGTGAACCGCAGGTCATTCTTATTGACGGTGATTGCTAGTGGTATCGTTAGTGCAAAAAGTGGTTGCGAAGGTGATGAGAAGTCAATTCAGAGCCCTTAGTGGTGGAGTGAATAACACGTGTGCACCTGAAAAGAGTAATCACGAGCTCGAATCTGGTTTGGAGGCCGAGTTTCTCCAATATCTCAGCATCAACGTGGTCGAGTTTTTCGGGCAGTCCATCCTGTAGCAATAAGTGTCATTATCAGCTAACATAGAGCGTAGTAGCAATATTTCAGTGACCAGCACTCTAACCTCAGTAAGACTAATCGATACGTAATTTCCTGAACGACTTTCTATTAACCTTGGCAATGATGAATATCTTGCTATTTCCTTGATTTACACAAGTAGGTAGTTATTTTATATAATTTATTAACAAAAAATCGCATTTCGGTCCATTTCTCTTTTTTCAGAGCCTAAAACGCTCGAGTTAACCGCAGGTTGGTCACCCAAACAGCTCCACAGAAAAGTACCTAGCCTAGTACCTATTGCCTAGTTTTCAATCGCATTACTTAGAAAACAACTTCGTCACACATTCAGCGCTCTCTATGAGTCCTCCATTAAGTATTCCACGTGAGGACCAACTACGCAGAGTTCATATTGAAAAGTACTAAGCAACTCTC